TATAAAGGTAAAAACATGGAGCAAATAAAATCACTTTTTTGGAGGGAGAGGGAATGGAACTGCACCATTTTCTCTTTGCAGTCCTCTTTAAATGTTCACTATTATGGGTTATCAATTATGAAACATAATAGTGCGTTAGAGTCAAAATGATAGAGCTCTGCCATAAAGTGCTAATAATCAATAGCTACAAACCCTAGGCAATGGACAGCTGATAAAGGTTCCTCTATCCTAATGGATAGAACTTCATAGTTCTATATAAAACCCACAAAAAACAATAGTCTAGATGACAGACCTGATAAACTGTATCTAGCAACACTGGAAGAGGGGGATGCATTTTGTTCTGCCAATGTGTAATCTCATTTATCTGGAATTTAAAATTAATATTAGCAACAATCAGCTAGTTGTTTGTAGCATACTGAAGTTTAAAACTGACCACTTAATTGTTTTCAATACTTTTGTAATGCTTCAAGAATCAAGGATAATATCCTGTGCTAATTTGTTTTTGGTAGCTATTTACTAAAAATCATCTGGTTCCAAATAAACAAATGCTATTAGAATGGAATCTCATTTTTAACACCATTTTTTCCCTCTAAGTAATCTTTAGGCCATGTTCACATTAAGACTTTAGCATCAATGTTAAAGCGCAGGTGTAGCTGCCCTTGGTGTAAACTTTGACACCCTGCACTTGTAGTGATGCAAGTCCCAGTTTACAGAAGTGCAGTTTGTCTAGAGTAGGGCCGTGTCCAGACTCAGGGGTTTTTTCGGGAAAAGTAGCCTGCGTCCAGACTCAAGCCGCTTTTCTTTCGATGGCGGTAAACCTTGTTTCACGAGGAAGAACGCCTTCCTTCGAAAGTTCCTCTTTCGAAGGAAGGAGTTCTTCAATGTAAAGAGGCCGTCTTCGAAAGAGAGCATCCAGACTCGCTGGGTGCTCTCTTCTGAAAAAGCGGATTTCTCTTTCGAAAGATCCGCCTGCAGTCTAGACGCGATCTTTCGAAAGATGCTCTTTCAAAAGAGCCTCTTTCGAAAGAAGCCTGCAGTCTAGACATAGCCTAGGATTTTACATCAGTGCAGTATTTTGGTGTAGCTATACCTCTGTCTAAAAACTGGAGTGTTGACAAGTCTTTATTCACAGCAGCCCCAATATAATAACATGTTGGCACACCAAACACAATTCTTACAACTGTAGTTGCAAGCATTGATGCTTGCAGAAGCTGCTTCTGGATAATCTGTAAATTAGATCTGCCACTGTACTGTAGGGCAGAGTTAAGCAGAATGGTTAATCCAGTGCATCTTCAGTTCTCTAAGGAGACACTATGATGGACTAAAATCCTTTTGTCAAACGTTGCAATTAACTGGTTCAACCAGTGTTTGTAAAGTGCTTGGAAAGCAGCTGAGTATGGAAACTCAGGCTGTTCCAATCAGCTATTTATTGCAGCAGCTTTTTGGCTGAGTATAGGCAAGGCTTGAGAAAACCTTACAGGTAAGTAATAGACTGGCATGCATGTAATAGAGTACACATATTGTACAATCTCATTAACATTTAGGCTTACCCAGTTGTTATGAAAGGAGTGTGCTTATGAGTGTACGAATATAGCTTGGAAACATACTATTTTAGGAATATCATCTCATTTTCACCAGTGCTATTCACCAGTACTTTCTTCAAGTCCTTATCTTATTACATATAGCTTGCTTGCTTCTCTTGTCTATTTTCATTTTGCAGGTAGTAGAATTCCTTTTGGAATCATCTTCGGTGGGACGGATATAAATGAAGACATCAAACATGAAGAGAAACACCGGGTGATGGGAGCAGTGTTAGAAGAAGCCAGGTAACAACGAATGTAGGGTTTATGGAGAAGTTTATTGTTAATCAGTAAAAAATAAATATATATTGTGGTTAATGTTGACTAAGGCCCAAACCTGTTCCCACAAGAGTTATTGGGAGTTTGACATAGACTTCAAAGAGAATAGAGCAAACCTTCTGTAAAATCAAATGTGGAAACATACTGTAATCACCACTGTGCTATTTGTCCATGTTAATGACTTGCTCCAGTCATACAGGGAACTGGAGGAAGGGCCCTGATTTCCTCCAGTAGGATTTTCAAAAGCTTCTGTGTTAGTTAGGAGTTCAAGTCCAATTAAAAGTTAATGGAACTTGTGGCCTAATTATCTAAACCACAACTGTTCCCAAGAATAGTGGATGTGTGCATGCGAGGAGGAAATCATATTATAGGGCTGGTAAATGGCACAATAATCTTATAATGCAGTAAAATAATACCTAGCATGTTTAATTTGTATGTGATCAGATATATGTGTGTAAAGGGAGGGTATTATTATTATTATTCATTTTTTGAAAATAATAGGTTTACTTTTTTTAAGACAGTCTCTGGAACAGGGGTGAGCAGAAGCCTCTCACCGGGCCGGATCCGGCCCGCTTTGGGCTTTGATCCAGCCTGCGAGGCAATTACAGGCCCCGTGTGCAGAGGAGTGGGGGGTGAACTTGGCCACTGCAGAGAAGGCAGTGCTGGAGCTGAGGCTTCTCAACAGGGCCAGCCCCGGAGGCGCCGCTTTCATGGCCATGCGATCTGGGGCCAGCCCCGGCGTTTGGAGGCGCCACTACCACAGCAGTAGAAGTGCTTCAGGGTCTGGCCCCAGGGCAGCTCTGGGCCACTTGGCCATGATAGCAGCACCTTCGGGCTGGCCCCATGCCGTGGTAATGGTGCCTCCGGGGCTGACCCCAGGACACAGCAGCAGCCCCTCCAGGGCCAGCCCTGGGATGCCAGGCTGATGCAGTGGCCCCTCCAGGGCTGGCCCTAGGCCACCCAGTAGTGGCACCTCTGGGGCCTGCCCCACGCCCCCCAGCCATGTCAGTCGTGCCTCTGGCATCCGGGGAGGTGTGTGAATGCGGTTCCTCGGGCCTGGCCCCAAACCGTGTGGCCATGGCAGTGGTGCCTCCGGCTTCCAGGACTACGTGGCCGTACTAGCGGGGCCTCCCTCCGGGGCGGACGGTTCAGGGTGGCTGCAGCTATTGCTTCAAGAGAGTATGAAATCAGGTAAGGTTCCCCCTCATGCCCAGAGCCCCCCACCCGCACCCCAGTCCCACCACTTCCCTCCCCCCAAGATCCAGCATCCCCAGCTTGCTCCAACACCCTCCCTTGTTTTTTCACCCTCTCTCCTGGCCACACACTGCACCCTCCCTTGTTCCTGCTTACTCCACCTGGCCAGACACCCTACTCCTAGCCTGTATCTGCAGGTAAGGTTCCCCCTCATGCCCAGAGCCCCCCACCCGCACCCCAGTCCCACCACTTCCCTCCCCCCAAGATCCAGCATCCCCAGCTTGCTCCAACACCCTCCCTTGTTTTTTCACCCTCTCTCCTGGCCACACACTGCACCCTCCCTTGTTCCTGCTTACTCCACCTGGCCAGACACCCTACTCCTAGCCTGTATCTGCAGCCCAGTTCCTTTCCAGATCCTGCACCCCATCCCTATCTTACTTGCTGGCCGCCCTGTCTCACGCACTGTACCCCTTATTTTTGTCCATACACCAGAGCCTAAGGAGGTCCATAAAATCCAGAACCCCAGGAAAGTAAATCTGGTCTTTAGGAAGCCCTGAAACTCAGTTTCCCTCTTCCCTTCACCCTGTGAGGTTGGGGCACCAGCGGAGTGAGGTGTCTCAGTTGGGGCCACGTCAGTAAGCATTGAGGGAGGAGATTTTGCTTCTCACTTGTGTGGTCCCCAGCTGATTTTTTTGTGGGTCAGTGACCTGACCCAAAAAGGGTTCCCCACCCCTCCCATCAATAAAGAAAACATTGAAACCTTTTGTGTTGGACATAATATTTTACTTTATTTAAATGAAGTTTGATAAAGTTAAAATGAGAAAGTTAAAATGCTTAATCTGTTTCATAATTTAAATTAAACTGCTCTTACTAGCTGCAGAAAATAAGGTCACTGTAACCAGCAGGGTAGTTCTCAACCCCACCCGTTCTGGGTCAGCGCAAGGCCACTTCCGAAATCTGTGAAGTGTCCCCCCTTCCAAAATTATTGCCCACCCCTATGGTGGAAGCGTATTGCTCTTTAATGGTAGACTGGTACTGAGTTTGCATTGAGATCTGTCTTTTCTCTTGCAAAAATATGTATCTCTTTGTCAATGTGAATCTTTCCATTGACATCAGTGGGCTTCGGAGTCAGGCTTTTAATGGGTTCTTTCATTTCATGCATTGGAAATCAAAACATTTCAGGATCATGTGCATTTTTATTTGTATTTGTATTTTAAAATTCAATGACCCTTACTCATGTTGAGCAGGGCTTTCCTCTGAGAGTCATCCCACTGACATTCAAATAAAACATGATTTTGGTGGGACTGTTCAACAAGTAAGGGCGGCTGTACTACTCAGCATAAATAAGGCAGAATGAGCTTAAAAGCCCTTACAAGTGATCTTTGCATGAATGTCAGGATGGGTCCACATGGAGCTCACTGAAGGGTTGGGTCTATACACCCTGATGCTGCAAGGTACTTCTAAGCCCGTGCTGAAATTTAAGACCTGAGTAACTCCACTTAAGCCAAGGTGCTATTTGCATGCTTAAAAATTAGACACATTCCTTAAATACATGAATGAACTGAGGCTTTACACTCCAGTTCAGAAAAGTGTATTAACATCAGCTCTTGTGCTTGGGTACAAGTCCCAGTAAACCAATCACTAGAGAAGGGGTCAGCAACCTACGGCATGTGTGCCGTAAGTAGCACGTGAGCCAATTTTTCAGTGGCACGCACAGTCTGCAGAGCACTCTCCGGAGCCTGCACAGCTGCAAGGCTTGTAGCACTAGCTACAGCTTCTGGGTGCACAGGAGGGGGGGGGAGTGAAGGAAGCCCCTACTTCCATCCGCCCCCAGTGTCTGAGAGAGCTGCCTCGGTTCCCCACCCACCTCCACTGGGTGGCACAAGGACCCTTTGCAGAGCCTGGAGGCTTCCCTCTCTCCCTCCTCCCCATCTATGGGATTGAGGTTCCATTGCCCCGTGTGCGTGCTGCTGTTGTGCCCGGTCCAGCTCTGCCAACATGTGGAGGGGCTGGGTAAGAAGGAAGCAGTGGGGTGGGAGTGTCTGCTCCTGTTGCCTCTGTCAGCTCCCCTGGCTCCCAGCCTGCTTCCACCAGGTGGCACAGGGAGTCCTGCCCCTGCACTTGTGCTGCTGCTGATCTGCCTGCCCCAGCTTTGCCTGCCCCAACTCTGCCGGCATGTGGGAATGTGCAAGTGTGGGAAGGGGGTTGGGAACAAGCTTTCCTGCCCTCAGGGCCTGGTCAGGACTGTCTCTGAGCAGCCACCAATGTGTGAGATGAGCAGTGAGGATGTGGGATGTCGAGGGCTAGAGGGTGACAAGGCAGTAGGGCGGCTGGGTGTGAAGTGTGGTGGGGAGAGTCCACGCCGGTACCTCCAAGCACTGCCCCAGTTTCCCACCTACTTCCACTGGGTGGCACAAGCACCCCACACAGAGCTGGAACCTCCCTCTATGGAAGGGGTGAGGGTGTGGGAACCAGGGGTGTGGGAAGTGGGGGCAGGAATGAGGAGGAAATAGGGGAATTGGGAACTGGGGTGTAATGGGGTCAGGCTCAGAGGGTTGGGGGGTTTTAGAGTAGTTTTTTTGCATCTCACTTGTGTGGTCCTCAACTGATAGTTGCTCGCCCCGGCCATAAATAAAGAAAACATTGGAACTTTTTGTGTTGAATATAAGTTAATATTTTACTTTATTTAAAATGAAGTTTGATAAATTAACATGAGAAATTTAAAATGCTTAATCTGTTTAATAACTTAAATTTGCCATTCCCCCAGCTGCATAACTAGCAAAATGGGTCGGCTGAAATTATATAATTAATGTTGAGTTTCCATTAGCAGCTGGTGGTCCGTGAAAAGCTTTGCATTGAGCCAGGTGGTCCATGGACCAAAAGTTTGAGAACCATTACGCTAGAGGGCAAGTGCTGCCCGGGCTGCAGCTCTGGGGCTGGGCAACAGTGTGGATTTCTAAGGGGAGAAAATGCATGAGGAATCCTCCTGCCTCAAAGCCAAGTTGGGTGCTGGGTACCTAGGTCTGTGGCAGGAAGGGGAAGGGCCTCATTGACTGAACCTCTACTGGACCCCACCCCTAACAGGGCTAGACACCCTGAGGTCACCCACCAGTCTCCCCCTCACCCATTTCCCTGAACCTCACTCTCCACAAGCCACCCTGACCCCAGCTTGTGCTGACAATCCAGCATCGTGCCCCCCAAAAGATTGGAGCCAAGACTTGCTACCTGCAGGGAGTGGGGGAAGTCCCAAGGCTCCATGCTTCCTCTGGCTTCTGGGGAAGTGTGCTCGCGCTGTTCCTCCCCTCCCTGCAGGAGACCAAGCGGGTGCACAGTGTGCGGTGTAGAGAGCTCTTTCCCACCCCCTCCTGGGGGAGTGGTGTGGCCCAGGGCAGATGGGTTAAATCTTAGCACACCACTTTGGACCCCTGCACTAGAACATCATTTATTTATAATTCACATTTTGACTCAAGACTATTTAAGCATATGCTTAAGTCCCAGTGGGATTTATAGGTAAGAAGATATTGCAGTGTGGCTCTGAATTAAGGCCTTAGAAATGTATTCTTGCTTGTAATCAGATAGTTAGAATATCATTTATATTACATTGCAATTTTCCTTTCAGAAATACCTATGGTAATAACTTTGGAAGAGGAGGAGAAAGGAAAGACAGGCGAGTGCAGCTGAAACAAAAATATTAAATGTGAACATTAGATTGAAGCAAACGAAACATTTTTATAAAAATTGGGCTTTTATTTTTTTCTTATTTTTCTCTATTGTGACCTGTGTTGGTACTTAGAGAATATGCAATCTTGCAGCAACATAGCTTTTGCATATGTTAAGTAAGTTCTATAGGTAGTCAATGCAGAGTTGTGGTGATTAGTTTAGGAATTTTAAATGTATTTTATTATGTTGGATTTGTTCTAAATGCTTCAAAATGCATTACCATGTGCATTGTAGAGTTCATAATACTTTTTCTGGTACAGGAAAAATAATTCCATTTTCTAGAAGCTACAGTGAGCAGATTGCCCTGCTAGTATTATCATAGTATTATTCATTGCATAGTTATTAAAATAAAGATTGATTTTTTTTATTATTGATTTCAGGATTCTAAGTAAAAAGTTCAATGAATTGTAGATTACTTGTCCAGAACAATATACCACCAAATTCCAATAAAACAAAGTATTGAACTGTGTCTAGCTTTATAATGAGTGTTTCATTTTTAATCAAATTCCTCTAAATGGTGGTTGTACTCCTCCAGGGTATATTTTCAATTTGACAGAACTTTGTGGACTTGGGAGCAAGAGTTTTTCTGCTTTTTAATGTGATGTATTGAAAGTAAAATTGTAAAAACTTGAAAGGGAGCATATGCAACTTGAGAAAACAAGCATTTTCAAAGGCTTTAATAATCTTTAAACTGTCAAATTGTATATGTGGACTGCATTGTAATGATGTAGAGCAGATGCCACCGAGCAACTGCACGGAAACAGGCTTGAGACTGTGAAAATAAATATAATAATTTAGCACTATGACTTCTGATGAATGATTGTGACTTCACATTAACAAATTATAACATTAACAGTTCTTAGTGAAAGAGCATTTTTGTGACTATAACTTTCTAGTGTACTTCACCCATTGATACTATGGGAGTATAGTATAAGCACTAACAGTGAATAAAACAGAATTGTGCAGTTGTATGAGCTTCGATGATGTGGCTTATGTGGGTAGGTCCTGTGATGATGTCACTTGTAAAGATAGGTGGACAGAATTGGCAATGGGATTTGTTACAGGGGTATGTTCCTGGGTAATGTATCTGAAGTATGATTGTGACTGCTGGAAAGTATTTGTTTTGGGTTAGGGGTTTGTCTATAGGCGAGGACTGGCCTATCTCCCAAGGATATAACCACATAAGCCACAACATCAGAGGCTCACATCCTGTATAACTGCACATCCTCTACGTGATCTATGCCAACATGTGTCAGCAATGCTCCTCTGCCATTATATTGGCCAGACTAGACAGTCTCTATAACAAAGGATAAATGGACACAAATCAGACATCACATAAACCTGGAGGGAAACATTTTATTCTGCCTGGGCACTCAATCATTGATTTAAAAGTAGACATTCTTCTACAGAAAAGTAGGCATTCTTCTTTCACTGGCTTCAGGGGGTAGCCGAGTTAGTCTGTTATAGAAAAAAACCAGCAAGCAAATGGTCTGGTAGCACTTTATAGACTAACAAAACATGTAGATGGTATCATGAGCTTTCGTGGGCACAGCCCACTTCTTCAGATGACCAGCCTACAAAAGCTCATGATACCATCTACATGTTTTGTTAGTCTATAAAGTGCTACCAGACCATTTGCTTGCTGTTTTTTTTATTTCTCTAATCAGTTACTGAGAGTGTGTGGAATTAGTATTCATCTGAAAATTTGATAATGTTTCCCTGGGCTTGAACAAAGACATTAACTGAATGTAGCATTATAAAGCCAGTCTTCCTTGCCTTTAATGGTGCATTTTTACATCAAAAGCTAAGTATGGGACACTGCCAGCACATTTAATTAGCCTCATTAGCACCAGTCCTGGGGAAAAGGTGTTACACTCACATAAAGAAGTGCAAATTGCTGGGCTGGGTTGATCTGCCAGCTATAGTATGGAGGGCTATGTCTACACTATCACCTATGTCAGCATAGCTGATGTTGCTATGGGGTGTGAATAACCACCTCCGCCGAGTAACATAAGTTATAGCAAGGTAAGTATTCATGCATATAGTGTTAGTTCTGGAAGAGCTTTTCCTGCAGACATAACTTCTGCTGTTCACTGAGGTGGTTCTTTATGCTGACGGGAGACCTCTCTCCTGTTAGCATAGAGCATCTTCACCAGACACGCTGCAGTGGCACAGATGGATTGGTACAGCTGTGCTGCTGCACTCTGTTAAGTGTAGAAATGCCTTAACTGTATTGGAGTTCAGAATCCTTCTCTTGGTAGAAAGCTGTGTACTGTAACTTGAGAGCAGAACTGGGAAGAGCAGCCTTGAGGCAACGGTGTCAATCTGGATAAATGTCAGTGGGCATCCCCAATGTGTGGGCTTCCAGTGAATGCAATAAATTCTCACTTTAGCTCTACTTGGCAAAACAAATAGAATTTCTGATTCCTGCATTTCCATCTTACTTTAATCATTTTTATCAGCTTTCAGTCTTTGTTTTGATATACTTTTATTCTGAAGTGCTCCTTTATTATTATATTTAAAGACTTTAAGCAGATGATCCTACCCATTTTTGTTCATTTAACTAGGTTTGCAGTGGCTTTCACAAAGAAAATGAAGGAACTGGCAGCAGCGGAGTGGGTATGTTTATATGATTATTACAGCATTATCAACTATATAGTGCCATAAAATTTAATTCTGAATAATGCTGGAGAATTATAATAATCTTCATAGTGTGTATTTATGATTTTTTCTGGAGGAAACAACATTTTATATTGATGCACTTTCCCGGGTCAAATAGGTCTGGCATTTAAAAACCTTTAGTACTTGAGAAGAGTTTACAGTTGTTTTTAAATGCACCACTTTTAAAACTAGCCTTTGCCTTTCAAGTCTCTTTTGAGATTATATTTATGTTCTTCTCTTTTATTTCATTTGTTAAGCCCCTGGATGTTACCACAATTTTATTTAACAGTTTCTACTTACTGTGAGCAATATTTAAAATTAGTTTGTAAATACTTGCTTTTTCAACACAGAAAATAAAGCAAACTTCTTAAGGTAAACTGGAAAATTAAAAGGAATGGGGGGCTAAGTCCAACAATATGATATCTCCATTTACCAGGCTGTGAATGGTATAAAATACATATTACTTTTAAAAAAAATGTGTTAATTTGTGAATTCAAAATGAAAAAATATATGCTAAATGATACATCTGGCCAAACACTGAATAAAATTATTTGTAATAAAACACATTAAATACAAAAACATCATTAGAAAAATTATTTGAAGTATATTATCTGTCAGTTGGCAAGTTCTTCCAAACACTCTTAGTCCTGTTAGTTGAAGCATTTTATTTGCATGAAGTACATTGAATTCAATTTTATAGTAAGTGTTCCATTTAAATTTTACTATAATGGAGAAGATTGTTAAAAGGAATGTTTTCTTATAAAATTGCGTGACTCTCAAAGATAAATTTTGAACTGTTACAGATGTCAGGAAAATATTTTTGGGGATAGAATTTTTGTGATATTTCTCTATTTCAGGATGTATGTATATATTATATTTATGATACTTAGAGCCCTGCAAATCCTCAGATATCCTCTATATATCTGCAAATATGGATGTGGATATCTGTGGCTCATTTTTCCATACACAGATGCAGAAACAATTTTGTATCTAGAACCCTGGAAATTTTCAGATATCCACTTTATTCACAGGTGTCCTCATAGGTGAATGTGGATATCTGCAGTTCATTTTTTTGTATCTGCATACAGCTCTACTGATAATCCGTATACCTAATACCTGATTTTGTAGACAAATCTCTTTCCTCTCATGCAGCCTTGTTACTGTGGTGAAGTTCCACATGGACATAGGAATCCATCTATGTGGAACTCTTTGATGGACTAGGACCCATGTGTGGTGACATTTAACTAAGTCTTAGTGCTTCATCACTCAAGTCAATGATAGCTCTACCATTGACTCATTGCCTAGAGGATCAGGGCCTTAATTACTAGGGTTTGTTTTCCAGTTTCTGGACTGATTTCAATTAGGATTTTCAAGATTTAGGGCTAAGTAATTTACTTCTAGTGATTGAAGTCACAGTAGTTCCAAACTACTGCACTACACAACACTGCATGGGAAAGAGGTGGGCAGCCCTCAGTGGAGAAAGAAGAGGCTGAGAACTATTTAGAAAAGTTAGACATACACAAATCCATGGGGCCAGATTTAATGCATCTGAGGGTGCTGATGGAGTTGGGAGATATTGCAGAGCCTTCGGCCATTATCTTTGAAAACTTGTGTAGATTGGGGGACATCCTGGATGATTGGAAAAAGGCAAATGTAGTGCTCATCATGAAAAAAGGGAACAAGGACAATTCAGGGCACTTTAGACTGGTCAGCCTCACCTCAGTCCTCAGAAAAATCATGGAGGTGATTCTTAAGGGATCCATTTTGAAACACTTGGAAGAGAGGAAAGTGATCAGTAAGTCAACATGGATTCACCAAGAGCAAGTAATGCCTGACCAACCTGATTGCCATCTATGACAAAGTAACTGGTTCTGTGGACATGTGGATATGATATACCTTGACTTTAGCAAAGCTTTTGAAATGGTCTCCCACATAATTCTTGCTAGCAAGTTAAGAATCCAAAGTGACCTAGGCAAATTAGAGGATTGGGCCAAAAGAAATCTGATGAAGTTCAGCAAGGACAGGTGTAGAGTTCTGGACTTGGGATGGAAGAATCCCTGTGACAGGGTGTACCAACCCTGCACTGGGCCTGTAATGTTTAACCAGGCCTACCTGCCTGAGAGATCCCCTCCCCCACAGCCTACTGGGCATGCTCCAACTGAAGGACCAGTATAAAGGCCAGTGAAGCAGCTTAGTCTGGGCTGACCACCACAGAGGAAGGAGCCAGTGCCAGAGCTTAGGAGCAGAGGCCAGCCAGTGGAGACCAGCCAGGGCAGCTCCCAGTCTGGAGGAGGCAAGTGGGGAAGATGCTGACGATTGTGAATCAGATAGGAAGTAGCCTAGGTTGGGGAGCTGGAGCCCGCCGAGAGCTCAGCGTGTTGCAGGAGGATTCCCCACTGAGCTAATGGTGGGACACACCCACCACTGATAGAGTCCTGGTTTGGGACCCGATTGAGAGGGAGGGCTCAGGTACCCCTACACCACCTTCATTATACTTGAGGGGGACACTACTGCTGGAACTATTGACTTTGGCTCTCAGGCCTCACTGCCCTGTGAGCTGGGGGCTGTTGTAGACTTGGGCCACTGGACCCTATTGCCCTACGAATAGTGGATATCAGGGGCTTATAGACTCGGGCCGCTGGGCCCTATTGCCCCACAAACGGGATTGCTATTGATTTCAGTTGCAAGATCTTATTGCCTGGTGAACCAGAACTTACTATTGACTTAGGCTGCTGGGCCCTTCTACTGACTTTGGTGACAAGGCCAGACTCTTGTATGAAAGTACTGGGGTTGGTACCACTCACGGGGTGTAGCATGTATTGAGGACTCTGATAGTCACAACACCCTGCCTCAAAGGGGGCTGGACATACCTGTCCTATTACAATCCCAAGCACTGTTACAGGCTGGGAACTGACTGGCTAAGCAGCAGTTTGGCAGAAAAGGAAATGGGGATTATCGTGGGTAAGAAGCTGGATATGGTCAACAGTGTGAGCTTGTAGCCAAGAAGGCTAATGGCATATTAGAGTATATTAGGAGGAGCATTGCCAGCAGATCTAGAAAAGTGATTATGCTTCTTCGAGCGGTTGCTCATGTGCATTTGAATGAGGTGTGTGCATGCTGTATGCATGGCTCCTGGAGCATTTTTTCCCCCAGTGGTACCCGTCAGGCCGGCAGGTCGCCCCCTGGAGTGGAGCTTACTGTCTCGTGCAGATCCCAGCTAGTTAATTGTTGCCCATTGGCAGTTCTTTGTTCGTTAAGTAGTTGTTAGGTATTTAGTAGATCGTTTGCACCTTTCTCTCTCCTCCCTACCCCCCGCTGGGGGACGGTGATGCCAGGCCTGCAGGGCTTCAAGCCTTATGTGGCTTGTGGAGACCCCTTAAGTGTCTGGGGGAATTTCATCTCACGGACTCCTGCAAAATCTGCCGCAGTTTTAAGCCTCGCACTAAGAGGGAAAGGGATTCCCGTCTAAAGTTACTTCTCATGGAATCGGCACTTCAATCCATGCCTTCAAAAGAAGTTTCTGGCCCCTCCCGCACCTCAGTACTGAAGAAGATGGCACCGCGGCACCGATCTCAGTCTGCGGCACTGAAAAGGGTGAAGGACTCCAGAGGGAGACACCTGGCTGAAAGGCCTACATAGATGTTCTCCGACACCATCCTCATCACTGAAGAGGAAGGCAGACTCGCACCGGGCGCGAAGCTCAATGCCTATTCCAGCCCATTACCCCTCCACTCTGGAGACGTTCAAGTTGGCTTATGAACTGATAGAGTTGACAGTCTCACCTCTGTCGCCCCTTTCCTTGGAAGGGTTCTTGACTTCGGTACGAAAGGCCTACATAGATGTTCTCCGACACCATCCTCATCACTGAAGAGGAAGGCAGACTCGCACCGGGCGCGAAGCTCAATGCCTATTCCAGCCCATTACCCCTCCACTCTGGAGACGTTCAAGTTGGCTTATGAACTGATAGAGTTGACAGTCTCACCTCTGTCGCCCCTTTCCTTGGAAGGGTTCTTGACTTCGGTACCGGGAGCCTTGGGTGCACCAGTGACTTCCCCGCCTCCAGGACCCTGACTGGCACTGGCAATGAGGAGACCAGCCGTTGCTGCCGGCACCAGTTAAAAGGGGTGCACACGTACAAGA